TTGCTTTCATTGTAAATTTGTAAAAGTTGATGTTTGTTTGCTTTCGATCAGATGTATCATGGAAGGAAAGAAGGATGAGAAGATAGCACACTGAATGAAGGCGAAGCAGAGATTGCTATTTCACATGCAAAGAGACTTGCTCACTCATGGCGTAGTCCATGCTTCCAATATTGAAATTATTACCCATATGTTATGCAGGTACTATGGGGTATACCTGGTTAATAGAGCGAGACATAAATGCTAACTAGATAGTTAGATATCTTCCCTCTTCTTCCATTCATTTCATAAAATGACCAATACATTGATGTTTGCTCTTTGAAATTGCAATTGTATTTCAGGTTCTATTACTAAAGATGTTTAGAAGCAATGAGGACAGGCTAAAGGATATATCAAACTGTGAATGTAGCTTCTTCTTGGTCCCCAACGCGACTTCATACAACTAAATGCAAGACGGATGCTTCTTATTGTTCTAGAAGTGGCAGATTGGTCAACCAGTGGTTATCAGGGATGCTGGAGGACAGGTTATTGATTGGCAAAGCCATTCAACAACGTACCTCATCTACCCTAGCAGAAGAGGCATTAGCTCTGCGTCTTGCAGTGGGAAGGGTAATGGCAAATGCTTTTTCAAGAGTCATTTTTGAAGCAGGAAAAGTTGGCTTGAATGGTTTGAATGGTTTAAATGGCTTGAATGGCAAATTGCTCCCGTCGTGGAACCCATATGGAGAACTCTGCTACTAGCTTTTGAATGGTTTGATTTTGTGGTTGTGCCTGGAATAGCTAACAAAGCTACTTAATTGGGTTTTTATTGAGCGCACTGTCTACCCATGGAATTGTGTAAACTAGTTGACATAGATGTTGCTCATCTCTATTTCTTTATTTAGATTTATTTTTAGATAATTAGAAAATTGTTACCACTTAAATCATTAAAAATAAATGTTAAATGCTAAATTTAGTTCTTCAACTTTAGGAAATGTACGTTTTTTATCCCTCAACAATTTTTTGCACTTTTTTGATCTTTCAACTCTAAGAAATGCACACCGTTAGTCCTTTCATTAATTTGAGCCGTTAACTTCACTCATGTGGCATTCTTTATATTTTTTTTGATGATGTGGAAAGTAAAATTTAAAAAAGTGATGATATGGATAAAACGTTTTGTCATATCATGTTCCTGTGACTCAAAAACGTCAAATCCACTCAAATGAGCCCCACATTACTTGCCGAAGCACCAATAAGAAAAGATGTCTTTTGATGACATGGCAAATTATGTGACCCTTTTTATATTTTTTTAATGATGTAACAAATTAAATTAAATTTAAGTGTTTATATGAATAAAAAATAATATCAAGTTAAATTTCATTAATTAATTATCATTAAATTATAATTATTTATACTAATCAAAATTGAGATTCTAAATTAATTTATAATTAAATCACAATTTTCTCATTAACAAATTTTCTTTAATAGACATTATAGTTTTCTTAGTAACCAAACAGATTGAAAACATTTTCTCAGCATCTAAACACCTAAACTATATAATTTTCTAGCCAAACAAATGGAAACTCACTAAGAATTTGCTTCTTTGCCCATCGGTCACTGCTTCTGTTCTTTCCATCGCCGACGATGTTCTTTCCATTTTGAATAATAAAATCATTTAGACAATACTTAAAAAATATGAAGAAAAGAATCCCAAAAATTTCTCACAACATGCAATTTGCATAAACTCTTCACAAACAAACATATAACAAAAAAAAAATGGAGCTAGGTTCGACGGAACCCAGCCTGGGTTCCATCAAACTCGAGTTGGGTTCAGTCAAACCCGAGCTGAGTTTCTCGAACCCAGTAGATCTGGGTTCAGTGGAACCCAGATCTAGGTTCTGTCAAACCCAGCAAATCTGGGTTCGATGGAACCCAGTAACTTGAGCTGGGTTCCCTTGAACCCAGATCAACTGGGTTTAAAGGAACCTAGCAACATAGAGGAAGAAGTGGAAGAAAGAAAAAGAAAAAAGAAAGGAAGAAAATGGATCGAAAGCGGGGAAGAAGATGGATTAAGAAAGGGAGACAGGGGTATTAAGGTAAATTTGTAGTTTTTAAATTTTTTTATTAAAAATATAAATGCTAATCAAATTTAGTTTATGAGTTGGCATTGACGTGTCATAAAAAAAAATCCAGATTAACACTTTTTAAAGTCGTTTTCACTATATCATCAAAAAAAATATAAAAAATGTCACATGGTAGAGTTAACGGTTTAAATTGACAGAAGGACTAATGGTGTCTATTTCTTAGAGTTGAAGGATCAAAAAAGTACAAAAAATTATTGAGGGATCAAAAATGTGCAACTCACTAAAGTTGAGGGACCAAATTTAACATTTAACCAAAAATAAAAAACCAATTGCAGCATGTTAAAGGCCCAAACAAAATAGGCCATAAATCCGGTCCTTAGA